TACTGGAAATGTTTTTTTCTTTGGCAGTTGATAAACTACTATGAGCAGCATTTGCGATATCATCCCCCTCAATGAGTTGGCTGCAACGAAGGAAAGATAGTTATAGGTCAATTAGCTTCATCTGTTGCCCTGTGTTATGTATAAAATGTTGTTGTAACAAGCTGTAGGGTATTAACCTATTACATTTATTAGGAAGGTTCATAAATAGCATGCCAAAATATATATTATGGGAAGCTTGTGTTAGGTTTAACTGATTTCGCATAAGAAAATGCTTCAAAGTTCTATCTCGATGTATCAACCCGATACATGAGATGATGAGGAGCAAATGATGATATTCTTCTGACCTTATAGGTGTTTAAAACCAATGTGAATTCCATTTGATAGCTATACATTTAGATTCTGGAGTGCATGTTGCACAATTGTTTCTCACATTGTAAAATTGTTATGTTGGTGCCCCTTAAAAGTTTTTTTGGGGATATGTTTCTTAAGGTTAAGGGCGTTCCATGGCTACTATGCAGCAGCCAAAGTATTTTTTATACGAAGTTCAAGTAGTTGCAACTGTAACAAAGAAAACGGAAAAGGGTAGAGTACAAATAAAAGACTTGTTTTAAGCCGTTTGATATTCTTGTTTCTTGATATTCATGTTGGTAAATCTTTTCTCCTAATTAGTTGGGGAGAAATTCAAAAATAGCTAGATTTACAAGTGGTCATTCAAAAATAGCCACAGATCCAAAAGCAGTTGAAAGTAAGCCACTTTGCATGTAAAGATAAATCTGAACGAAAATACTGTTCAAAATCCGGAAACTCCAGCATAATATACTGGATTTCCAGCATAATATATTGGACTTCCAGTATAATATGCTGGAAGTTCATACACAGGTGCTCCGATCTCCAGTATATTATGCTGGAACTTTCCGCGTGTTGGAGTTCCAGCAAAATGTGCTGGAAATTCATACGCAGGTGCACCGATCTCCAGTATATTATGCTGGAACTTTTCGTGTTGCAGCAAAATAGTGGCTATTTTCAATGACTTTGCAAACGCTGGCTATTTTTGATTGACCAATCCGAAAACTGGCTAGCCCGTGCTATTTTTACTATTAGTTGGTTTCAATTGCCAGAGAAATTTTATTCTGTAGGAGACTCACTTATTATGTGGTAGACACAACTTATTTGAGACTCCTTTGGAACTTTGCCACGTGGATTTTGGGTCCCATTTTCCATAAAAATTTGCCTACTCCCTGCCCTTGCCCTTTTACTCTCTCCTATTCCAAATTTCTGCAACTTCTTAACTCAATGTTCCATCTACCAGACTTCATTGTTTTCTATTCATTCTCTAATTTTTCAAAGACACTCAAAAGTCAAGCGCATAAAACACTTTAAAAAAGAGAGAAAAAATCAGAAAGGAAAAAAACTTAAAGCACCAATAATGTTGAAATATAATTAAGTTTTAGCACTGTCCATGAAACCAACAAATGCAGACACAACATTTATCATCTTTATTTTCTCCCTATTTCCCTCTGTTTTTTTTGTTCTAATTCCTCTGTCCTCTTTCTCTATGAAAATAATGAAAAGGTGTAGAACAATACATCTAAAAAAAATTCAAATAAGATTGGTAGAGTATTACGAAGCTATATTTTGTTTTAATTTTGATTTCACTGTTAGGGAGAGCTAGAGTAAAAAAAATCGGATTTTTCCTCTCAACAAACATCTTTTTTTTCTAAAATAATTCTGCAGCAATTTGACTTTATTTGGGTTAAGTTTCTCAAAATCTACGCGAGAGAGACTCGCAAGGTCCCAACTAAAATAAAAGTACATAAGTAGTCCATAGAATGTGGAGCTCACTGCTACAGACCCATCGAATAGGTCTGTTGGGAGGAGAAAGATGAAGTGTTAAGAAAAAAGAAAAGAACTAAGAAAGAGAAAAAGGGTGGAGTATTTGCCTAAGAAATTACATGGAAGGAGAAGAAGTTAAATAAATGGCCCACAATTTACACATGTCACTAAATAAGAGCCTCATACAAGTATTACATGACATATGAGACTCAAACTAAAATTTCTCCAATTGCCATGAATAAAAGTCATTCTTGATGTCATTATCAGAATTTCTTGTTTAGAGTTATATAAGAAGCTAGCAAACAATTAGTTGATCCAACAAGTGTTTTACTTATTCTTTGAAGAATAATTATTTGGAACATGCAGTGACACTGCTTAGATATTAACCTCCAAAGAAAAGCACAAGTGTGATGTGACCATGATTATTGCAGCTAATATGTCTACTTTATATTCTCCTGTTTTGATGTCAGAAAATTGCATATTTTTTCTAGTCAATTGATATAACAGGCTATGTTACTAGTAAGCAAAAAAATGGGCAACAGATGGCCATCACCAATGGTTCCTTCAATAATTGTTGGGTTTCTTAGTCTGCTATTTTTTGGCCAACAATTTCTAGCATAGGTGGAGGTGCCACAATTCTTCTTCTAACATTATTATTTCCTGTCTCCTTGACATTTGTTGTATACTTGCTGTCAATTTTTATTCCTATACAAAATATACTATCATCTTCTACATATTGGGAAGGCAGTACTGGTTCTGTTGCATATGATGGAGAAGGTTTGTTTGGGTTAGGGACTATGCTCCTAGTTATCCTCTTCTTCGTTTTGTACAATCTGATGGGATAAATTTACTCTTCTTTTTTAATAAGATGATATACATATCACTTGTCAGAAGAAAATAAATTTGTACTGTGACTTGTAAAAAGGCTAGTTTACAGTAGTAATATATAAAGAAAATGTTATGCTCAAAAGTAGCTTGTTTACTTTATTTTCTTCTGGATTGTTACAATTATTCTGCAAACAAAAAAAAGATGCTCTTGGATGTTTGAGTCCAAATATATATTCTGCAAATTTTAGGCAAGGGCATCGACCTATGGTAATTAAAAAAAATTGATATCTCATTTTCAAACTGTTTACCGTGAAAATGGTAATTACAATTAGATTTGATTTTGTGGTTCTAAAAATACGTGATTTATTTCTATGCTAGCTGTTAAGCAGTAGATGCTAGGTGTGAGACGAAAAAATAAGGTAAGAGTTTGAAGATGGTGCATCAAGCAAACCGAGTAGCTGAGAATCGGGGCCTCGAGATGGCTTGTGCGGGGCCTCGAGGTCGAGCCAGGCGTTGGGCTCTGAGCAGTCGATGGAGAACTAACAGTTCTAAGGGCCTTGATGAGGGCTCTTTATGATCAATAATGAGTAATAAATGAAGAACAATTAATGGAACACAATAAAGGCAAGCAATAAATGTAAGTAATAAGATCAAAGGAGAATATGTTTAAGTTAGAGAGCAGAGAATGTTCTTTTTTCTTGTATTCAATATCATGCGGTGTCCCTTGCTTACAAAATGACAAGGATCCCCTTTATATATCAGAGAAAATCCCAACATGGTACAAATGCATTTATTACAAAGATACGCGGCTGATACAGCCATTTAATGCCACGGTACGAGCTCGTAATAGCCTAGTAGACTTGGTCAGCTTTAATCAAGTGCCTTGGGAACTTCCCGTTTTGCCATCATAACCACCGATTTATACTGCCCGAGGTCGAGCGCTGAGAGCCCTCGGGGTCGAACCTCGAGCAGAGCTTCGAGCTTCCTGGATACATGCTTATGAAGCGTCATAATGGCCATAAAATCGGACCCTCTGATTTTTACCATATACGGATAGTCCCCGCTTTTCTTAGAATGAAAGTGATAAGAAACGGTCTTGAATTCTTGACTTTCTTGAACATCTTGTGATGACGTCATGCTTGTGACATCAGTTTTCCAAGTGACTGAAAACATCCTATCAATCCATTTTCAGAAACATTCATTACACTGCCGGTTCATTCTCCCAAAAGCGGTGATTTTGCCGCCGATCCGTTTTCCAAAAAGCATTGATTGCGCCTGTCGATACGTTTCCCAAAGGTATTGATTGCGCCGTCGATTATGCAACTGCCTTTCTATAAATAGGAGGTTTCTTGAACCTAAACTCCATTCAGTCATTTCTCAACAATCTTTATCCCTTTTCTTCTCTTCTTCCTCATCCAAGCTCTATTTTCCATGGTTCAAGACTGTGATAGTAAGATCGTACAACAGCGGTTTTGCCGTTATGCCATCGCTCTCTTTCACAGCTCTTCCCTACTGAGTGGGATCGTACTGGTTTGTTGTCGCTGTCGTTGTTGTTGGCCCGAAATAATGAGAGAGGGGCTTCAAATTGTTCCCGCATTAGAGGACGTGTGGTCCTTGAACTGCTGCTCATCTCCCTTAACTTCAACCTGGTGTGGCTATCGCGCCCCTTTTTTCCTTCGCGAAGTTCGGGTTTCGACATTCATGGGGGAACAACTCGTTTCCTTTTGGGAATTGGGTATTTGAAGAGTCGCCACCTAACGGATTATGGTGCGTTAGGGCACCTAGAGCGATTAATTCATGTAACTAGTTTACATTACCAGAGATTAGGGTAAGGGCTCGAAATAACCTTGAGGGGAAGGTGTTAGGCACCCCTCGCGGTCCACAACGGTGGGTCCCGACCGAACTTAAAACTATGTGAATTAGTCAATTAACAAGTAAACAGTTTTAACACATATTTGCAAATAAAGTAGTTTTCCCCATCTAAATACATATATGGTCAAGGAAATTCAGATAATGAAAGTAAGAGAGGTTTGGACTAGGGGTGTTCATCGGTTGGTACGGTATGGTATTTAGATAATTCGGTTCGGTATTTTTGATATTCGATTTCCTAAAATGCTATACCAATACCGTACCTAATTAAATTCGGTATGGTTCGGCTTTTTGCCTTTCGGTTTCGGTTTATTCGGTACGGTAATTTTGGTTGTTCGGCTCTAAAGCAACTTTTTGAACGTAATATTTAGGGGAGAAAAACGCCTTAACTAGCTAGCAAAATTAAAATTATAACTAGCCAATAAAATCAATTTTATGAATGCAGCAACACTACACATCATATATGAGACTTCTATAAAGAGGAGCATAAGATTAGAATAATGTTTACAAACTTCATCAATATGTAAATATGTCTGCTCTAAAGCTCTAACTTGCATCATCATAAAGAATGCACCAGACACCAGTAAGCTTCTCAAAATGTGACCAAAATAAGTATTTCACAAGTGTTGTTTACAGAAACCATTCTGTATAACATCCATTAACCACATAGACAAAAATAGGTGGTGCACAGGCTTTAACAAAATAACATGGAACTAGATTTCTCCTGAAGCTCTCTGGTAACTTCGTGCTGCAAGGATGGCAGGATATTTAAAATTAATCCAATATCTAACAACATAAATTGATGACATTTATCAACCAAATAAAAGCTAGACTTACCATATATGTTGCAATTAACAACTATACATCAACGATGCAAGGCTCTGCTCCATTGGGCAAGCCTACAGAGAATTCAAGGTAATTTGTTATGCAATATGAACAATAAACTAATTGCAATTTGCAAATATCAATATAGAGTGCATACAAATAAAATATTCTTACCAAGTTCAAATTGCACGAGATAATCTATATCTTCCTCAACTCTAACAGGAAGTAATTCATTTCGAAGCCAATCTTGACAACACACAAGAGCTTGTACTAATTTGGGAGTCAGTGAGCTCCTAAAACAATCAAGAATACGGCCTCCCGTACTAAAAGCACTCTTTGATGCCACACTAGACACATGAATTGCCAAAGCATCATGAGCAATCTCGGCAACATTGGAAATCTAGGTTTGTTCACTTTCCACCAAAGCAAGATATCAAAACCATCACCTCCATCATCACATTCTTCATCTAGATACTTCTCTAACTCTGTTTTAGCATCTGAATTTCCATTTTCAGCTTTGTGCCTCTTGTATTGTTGTGAAAATGTTGCCTTTGAAGTTTTAGATTGAGTTCCATGACTACTTGCACTTGACGTCTGTGAGGAGCTACTTGATGTAGAAGATGAAGCATGATCGTTTTTTGAGTGTTTCTTTGCATACTCATTAAACAAAGAAGTCATGTAGCTTTCCACTTCTCCTACTATATTTTTTCTTGTTTCTTCCCCGAACATGCTCACAAGTGCATAAGTAACATACTCAAACTTATGGCGCGGATCCAAAATACACGCAATAAAGATCATCTTATTCATCTTTTCTGGAGTACCCCAATACTTGTCAAATTTTTCTTTCATCTTTCCTGCCATTGAACTCAAGTCAACGTTATCTTCTGCTATCAAACTTTTTGAAATTATAATGAAGTTCACATATTTCAACAAAATGAACATTTGATGTAACATAAAGTGAACCAGAGATCTTCAAGGTAAGTACAAAAAAAAAAGTTTCAAGAAATCTCACCATGAGCCTCACACTTTCTCAATCAGAACTTACAAGTGAACCTACTGATTTTCCATCTTCACACACATGAGTAAGAAGATAATGCAACAGTCCATGATCAAGAGTACCATAACTTGCAAATGCATGCTCGAATTCTTTTGCCACATTTAACATCAAGTAGGTGGAGTTCCACCTAGTAGGAACATCCAAACATAGTGATTTCTTACATGCAATCTTTTCAATTTCACAACATTCTTTAAACTTTTTCCACCTCGCAGGAGATTGCCTAATATATCTTACTGCTTGTCTAACGCGTTTCACAGAATCACCCACTTCTTTCAAACCATTCTGAACAACAAGATTGAGGATGTGAGCCATACATCTCATATGGAGGTGTTTACCCTCCATCAAATTAGTTCCCCATTTGGTAAGTTGCTTAGACAACTCTTTCATTGTGACATCATTTGAACTTGCGTTATCATTTTAACAGTGAAGATCTTATCTAAACCCCAATCAAGCAAACACTTAGCAATAACATTTACTATATCATCACCTTTATGACTAGTAATTGGACAAAGTTTATTATTTTTTTGTGCATCTTCCAATCCTTGTCGATAAAGTGAGCCATAATGCATATATAATTGATCTGTTGTAATGAGGTCCATGTATCTGTAGTAAGACAAACTCTTTGTTTTGTTTCTTTGAAAAGTTTCTTGAGTTTCTGTTTCTCTTCACCATAAAGCTCAAAACAATCCCTAGTCACTGTATGACGGGAAGGAACCCGAAATTGAGGACATAAAGAACTCACAAAGTTCTTAAAACCTTTTTTTTCAACATGGCTAAAAGGTTGCTCATCAAGAATTATCATTTTAGCTAAAGCCCTTCTGCAAAGTTCTTGATCAAATTTCCAAGAGACGGGAATTCCCACATCCTTTTTACCACCTGAAATTGGTTGAAAGCCTATCAATCTTTGATTTGTTTCAACATTATAGGGAAATTTCACTCACCTGCTCATATGACCTTTCAATCCCGACGTGCCATTTTTGATATTAAAATCTTCCTTCGTAAAATCACAGTATTTACATTTTACAATTGTTACCCCATTAGGACCATCAACCAGCTTTTGAAAGTGTTCCCACACAACAGATCTTTCTTTCATGCCTTTCCTTTTATTGCTTAAAACTGAATCAACTTCACTTGTAGCTGTGGTTTCATTTGAACCTCCATTTTCACCTATTTTACTTTGAATCTCTGCCATCTGTGAAGATAAAAAGTAAAACATGAAGGAATGATGTACCAAAAGTAAAACATGAAGCATATGACATATATATAAGAGCAAAGAAACGATAATCTACCACCAAAAGAACATAAAAAATAATGTATCAGAACTCAATTTTACTACAATATTGCAATTACCTTTGTCTTCTTTCAGTAATTTTGATTGTACCAAAAACCATAACCCACTTGTGCACATCTTCTTTCAATAATAACTTACCAAACATATAAAGAGCAAGAGATGAACACACAAAAAAGGAGCAGAAGATTGATTGAGAGAGAGAGAGAGAGAGAGAGAGAGAGAGAGAGAGAGAGAGAGAGAGAGAGATGAAACAGAGAAGAGGAGAAAAATACAGATAGCTAGATAGAGNACGGGGGGGGGGGGGGGATCGAGATCGTACCTACTGCGAACCGCGAGAGAAGGCAAAAGCTAGAAGCCAGGCGCAACTTACAGCGAGAGAGCTGGAGAGATTTGTCTATGGTCTATCTAAGTTGAAGTAAGGTTTGAAAATGGTGGATTTTAGATTTCTAAACCTAAAACTAAATGGGGAAACGACTGGGTGTAAGCAGGTAACCAAAAAATGGGGGGAAGGTACGTATAGTGAAAATAAAAGGTGGGAAATATTTAAAAAAAAATAACTAAGAATAAAGGGAAGTAAAATTTTACAACTTTTATATTTATGTTATAAATAATATAATATATATTATGTAATTTAGTAAATATTTCGGTACGGTATCGGTATTTAAAAAAAATACCAAATATCATACCTAATACCAAACATTTTTAAAATTTAAACCAAATACCATACCAAAATATCAAATACCAAATACCAAAAATTTCAGTTTCGGTATGGTAATTCGGTATTTACCAAATTATGCACATCCCTAGTTTGGACAGCTTACACATGTATATGTAAAGGAAAAGAAGTTTAGAGAATTTAAACACATATGGGAATTGGGAAAGGGAAGTCCTAAGTCAATTAGCCTACAAGATCAATCTGTGCAATGCCCGGTAATCCTCCTCAACTAGAGGGGCTACACGTGACATTAGCGCGCAGGTCATCATAATCTTTTACTACCCATTACCCTCCCTTTAGTGGTTATATAAGCGAGTTTAATTAAAGATCCCTAAGCGTGTTGTTACCCGTCCCTTCCTTGTGGTCCTGGAGGAGTTTAAGACCTCTAAATCCGGGGCAGCTCTAGACAGCCTAAGGCGTTTAAAAGGGAAAATCTAGGCGACAAGCAAAGAACATATAGGACAATCAAATAGGGAAAAGCAGTTAAGGCTCATGTTTACCTCCACATATACATAGCAAATAAATAGCACGTCTCAAACAACTGATTTTGAATAAGTTCAGAAAGCCTAGGAGCATGATATCTAGATGAACATCACAAAACAGAACGTGCAGCGTTTGTTTTAAGGGAAGCGACAGAATCCTAACCCGTTTTGCCTACTGGTTTTATAGCCTGTTAAACCTGGATAATTTTACACATAAACAGAACTGGTTTCACAATTATTTAACGTCCTAAGGCTTGCCTAAGTGTGTATATGCAGTCACGAATCTGGGAAACAGTTTGAAGTTCTTTTATCCTATAGGCATGCTTATCTGCAGATCATAACAGGTGACTTATCAATTGTGTTTAGAGGCATGATACCTATGCGTGAGTCTGTTTTAAACCCTTTCATAGACAGCTATTGATTTAATAGACGTGGTTCAAACAGATGCAAATAGAACTTCTAAGAGCATGGTATCTAATGCATGACAATTTTTATTAAGATTATTTAATAGCAGGGTACCTATGTGACAGAACTTGCGAAGAATCAGGAATTAAACGTGCAACATGCTGAAACAGTGAGCGGGAAGGCCCTAAAGACAGGATATCTAATGCACAAGTTCAACACGGTTCCAATGAGCACATCAATCCTAGAAACATGGATTCTAATGCAGAATATAAAGCCTATAGCTTGCTTTCTACCCGATTTTACCCACAACATCACACAACTAGCCTCCTTTTATTAGTTACCCAAGTTTCTATTTACAAATAATTATTAGAGACTAGAATTGCATAAATTACACAAAAGAAATGTAGAGTAATACCATAGGGATCCTGAAGCAGGCCCAAAAATAAACCTGGGAATACCAGGCCTTCAATGTAGTCTCAAATGCTCAGAAGTTCCATGGACAACAAGTGTCTAGGTGTGTCAGAGTTCCCTAAGGACCTCAAGGATCCCGGACAGTGCTCACACCAAGACCTTTCTCAAGTAAAGACTGATTATGTGCAGTGTGGAAGAGCCAACCCTGATATGCCAGAGTTCAGAGAGATCTCAAGAATCCCTAGGCAGTACACATACCAGAGGGGCAGAACTTAATAACCTAAGAGTAAGTGAGAGTTCTTGAAAAGACTTAGTGAAAACAATGTGGAGATAACTTCTTAGGAGTAAAAGATCTTCTGGAATAGACCAGTTTTAAGAAAAATGCTGGGAATAAAACCAGTTTTAGAAGAAAACATTTTGAAAATAGTTCAGAGAAGAGCAAATTCAGTAGATAGTCAATAGATCATAGAGGGTTCAGTTCCACAGACACTTTAGCAAACATATTTGCACACAGGGGTGAAAAGGGATTGGGAACACATGGTGATCTTATTGAAGGTGCATGAATGGGGTGCAGGGAGACAGGCAGGCAGTAATATATATAGACACTTATAGCCTTAACAAATTAACCAGGATAGCAGGCAACTAAACATGGAGCAAAGATATAGAGGATGGAATCAGGTACACAAGCAGGATTAACCATAGGCATAAGTAACCAACATGATCACACAACTAAGCATAAGTCAAACAGGCTGTTCAAGCATCAGATAAACATGTGAAGTGCAAGCATATTAGTTGCACATAAAGCAGGGCAGAATTTTAGGCATGCTTGAACAAAGAAAGTAAATAAGAGAGTAGGTCAAATTCATAACCGATGAACTAATGCAGGGATGCAACACATAGAGTTTGGGTGTCAAATGTAATTAGAGACATACCGGTTGAGGGAAAAGAGTGCAGAATATAGAGCAAGTGGTCTCACTGTCTAGCCTTGGCTAGACCCAAAATAGCACAAGTAACACAAGTAGCAAAGAAGGAGAATGGTTTGAGTGTGTGTGTGTATTGTGAACTGATCTCTTTTCGAGAACCAGAACAATGGGGGTTTTATAGTATGCAATAGAGTAAGACACATAAGGTAATGAGCCAATCATATGCACATAAGGTATGGAAATCAATTAACAATTAGTCATGACTCGATTAAGGGGGCCAAAATCACACAAATGATATTTAATTTAAGGAAGTCTCACACGGAATCCCTCAGTAAATCAAAGCAGGGTTAATAAGGTAAGAAATAATCAAACAATCGATCAAATGAAGTCAGTCATGAACAAATTAGCCATAAAATCAGACTAGTATTACTTAATTTAAGGAAAATTGTATATGGAATCGATCAGTAATTAAGGGCTAGGTTAAATAAGGCAAGGAATAACTCCGAAATCAATTAGAAGTTGGTTATGAAAATCAAAGCATAAAATCAGGCTAGCAGCACCAATCCATAATTAAACATAAGGTAAGAAAGGTAAAATCTAATAAGGAAACACCGGTACTAAGGAAAGCCAATTTCAAGCCCTAATTTAGGTAAGTAAAATTAATTAACAATTAGTCGAAGGAGTTTAAGGCAAACGGGCAAAAGTAGCAAAATAATCGGTTAAATAATCAGAACTATAAGAGATTAGGCAGAAATACAGAAGCATATAGTAAACAAAAGTAAATAAGGAAACCATAATGAATACTCAGAGACGAAAACGTTTAAAAGTTAAATATTTGTAGAAAAACCCGTTGAAATCAAGACCCTAATCTTAGGGTAAACCAAAATTAGTTAGGAATAGTAATAGGGAAATATCAAAGGACATCGAGGTGGAACTACTGGAAAAAATTTAAAGAAGAAATACCAAAATAAACATGAAACCGTTTCAAATCTGAGAAAATCTGAACAGATTCAACCAAAAATTAGCCAGATTCATAAAATAAACAAAAGTTGACCCAGATCTGGTTTAAACCGGAGATTTGAAACCCTAAAATACGAAGGTATTCGTACTCACAAGTATTGGAATGAATATAGACGGCAATAGTCAAGACATGAAAGATCTTGAACCAGGTCTGGCTCGATCTTGGCCAGATTTGCTTTGCCATGTTAGGAAGCAACTAAATAGTGTCGTAGACGAGTAACCAACGGTAAAGAGAGACCAATAATGTAAGGGAATCCATAACTGATTCCATTTTAGGTTGGAATCATAGGAGATAACAGGTGATGGTGCTAGGATTACTAGAATTTAGAGATGGTGAGAGATGAGAGCATATGAGGGCGGCGATCTAGAAGGAATGGGTAGGGTTAGGGATTTTGTTATATGAAAAGTGATTGGTTGATTTAGGGCCGTTGATCTGACTGAGAATCAACGGCCAGGGTTAAATGTTAGGTGGGGGGGGGGTTTAAAATTAAAAGGGTGTTTGGGTCTGTGTTTGGGTTGGACGGGTATGGGTAATTGGACTAGGCTAGGTTTGAAATTGGGTATTTTCTAGGGCTAATATTTAAATACCAATTAATTTAGTAAAATAATTTTATAAATAATTTATAAATGATAAAAATGTGATTTGTGCATGAAAAATTTTAAAATACTTACTTAATATTGTAAAAATAAGAAAAGTCATTCTTCTGTATGGATATATTAATTGTGCATATATATAGGCTATTATTGTAAAAATATGCAATTCTAAGCCTAACAATGCAAATGTGATTATAAAAAAAATAAAATTAAAATATTTAAGCACTATTGGGCATAAACAATGATGAATTTAGATAATTAAATCTTATAAAAATAATATGAGGAATAGTTATCGAATATTTGTATAAAGATACAGAAATAAATTGTTTTAACCCTTTAAAAATTAATAGAAAATAATTAAAAATGGTTGTAAATGTGTATGCAATATTTTGAAAGTTGTAATGCATATATATATGAAGGAAAAATTGGGTATCAACAGCTGCCCTCTTCCCGGGAAGGATGAAAGAGCTTTTCGGGTAAAGAAATGATGGCCAATTTTTGACCAAATAGAATGTTTTGAAAGTTAGAGCGCGGACTCCGGTTTTTTTGAGCTGCCTACATAACCCTGGTTAACAGGAATCAGGCCAGGAATATACCGATGAAGTCATTACAAGAATGGACACGATATTTCGAGATGGGTGAAAGAGTGATTATGGTGAATGGTCAAGTGTTTGAGAAGTTGAAGGAACTGGAGCGAGTTGTCCATGATGGGCTAGCGGTTGCTTAATTGTCACCTGCAAGTAAAGAGATGCTACGAACATGCATTTGTTTGCGAAAATTTATAACATGATGCAGATTCCCTTTTGGACCATGAAAATGTGTCTTCGGGCGGTTAAGGATGACGTTCTCAGACCAATGATTTCCTGGGCCTTGAATTGTTCAGTGAGGATTTCGTAGGCCATTGAAATGGTGTTCTCGGGCCATGAAGATGTA